TCACTGAGTTACGCAAGCCCCTTCGCCACGACAAGGCAGTGATCCATGAAGGGGCAAAGAATGATACCAGGATTTAATCTGATTATTCCAAGTATTAACCTATTGTCCTACTTGTTTGTCTTTGTGTTTGCATGGAAATATGTATCCATCCACCACTGAACCTGTCTTTGTCTCAGCATGTTTTGTGCTACGTCAATCCCACCTTTATTCTCTCTCTCTCTCTCTCTATCTGAGAATTTGGTGTAATGGTCAAGAGACCACACTTGAAACCAGGAGAACATGGATGAACTAGGTCCAGGCACTCACCCTTATCTCTAGGAAAAAAAAAAGTAACGGCAAACCTCTTCCCAAAATCTTGCAAGGAAAACTGCAGGGATTTATCTAGGTGGTTGACAAGAGTCAAAACTGAATTTAAGTCACCAATAGGTAACTGACTAAAACAATAAATAAAGTAATAAAGTAATGAAATAGTGAAATCAAAATGATCTATAATATCTATTTATCTATCTCAATGACTTTAGCTATCCATATATCTACATCAGATTGTAACTTTATTTAGGAATATAAAGATTTTCACACTTTCCTTGTGGCTCATCCCTTCCTACCTCAGGAGGCCTGACAATTTAACTTTGGTATTGTGAATGTTGAAAATCTTTAGCTGGGTGTCTCTCTCACTACCATTATGAAATTAGCCAGTTTGTCTCTTCCAGATCCTATGGGACTCCAGAGCAAAAGGATGAATTGACCCTGAAGGATGCTATTAACATTCCCCGTGACATAATAGCCCATGGCTGGAAGCCCCAAAGCTCTGTGAGTTGATTCGATAGTATGTTGCACTCTCTGTTTCAGTCTGAAAAACACCTGAAGAAGTTAGGTCAGTCTGAGCTACCTGGAGACATTCAAAGATCATGTTGCCAACAGGGGAATTTGTATACAGAGAGAAGAGTTTCATGGAAGAAGTTAGCATTCATAGAGTCACTGTTAACATTAATGCCTCAAGTGGTGTGCAAAGATTCTAGGGTTCAATGTGACCATGATAAGCCTCTTCCTATTCGTCACACATATCATCAGCTTGGAGATGTTAACATCGCTGGCATTATTTCTGTATTCTCAACATTTTCTGATCCCATTGATTTCAGTCAACATCCTTCTCAGGCACTTCAGGATGGACTTATGTAAGTGCATCTTTGATTTATTTTCAGGCTGTGCACCTGCTATTTAATAACATGATGCTCAAAATGTTTTCCTATAATAACAAAAGCTAACATGATGCCTTGATCTATTTATAAGATATGTTTCAGTTTCCACATGAAGTGGAAAAATTTCTGAAGATGTAACTCCCACTAAAATCTGGGGGACCTATATTAGCTATGATTAACTTTTTTTAGTTAATTTTCCACGTACCAAAATGTAGCTACTTTCTTCTGGATATAAGCCATTCTTAAAAAGCTGGGGTTTCTCATGCATTAAGAAATAATGCTTCCAACCTTTAGCCAGGGTTTATCTTGTATTCAGAAAACCCCAGGATCTGGAGTGGTATTTATGTGCTGGTAATTTTGCTTTGCATTTTCCAGGATCCTAGCTGAGTAGTAAATATATAACACTAAAATGCATTCAACAAACTTTTGTACTGAAAGATTGAAGATGCCATATTTTGAAGCAGACCCTTCTTTATCTATTATGTTTTTTTTTTTTTTTTTGGTTACAGAATATTGTTTCAGAATTACCAGCACATCCTGGCTTTAGTGTTTGCTCTAAAGCAAATCAGTGAAAATCCTCAGATCCTGCCCAACATCACGCTGGGCTTCCACATTTATAATAGCAATTTCAGTCCACGTTGGACTTACTTTGCCTCAATGGTGCTTCCTTATACTCAAAGCAGATTCATTCCTAACTACAATTGTGGTGTCCCCAAAAATCTGGCTGCAGTCATTGGGGGACCTGACATCTCTCTCCACATGGCAACTATTCTGTGCCTCTACAAAGTTCCTCAGGTAAGATGTGTTGAAGTTAGATGGTAGTACCTGAACAAGCCTAGGGTGTTTTTGCTTTTATGATAAAGAACATGGTTCAGACTGTATACAACCTTTCGTTAGATATTCTTTAAAGATGTTTTAAAGACAGCTGATAGTCCATGTTAATGAACTGAACCCGACTGCCACACAATCAGCTATTTCTTGTAATTCAGTGAATATTTATTACCACAGATAAAAACATGAAATCCAAGAAGTCAGATATTATCCTGGGTTAATAATAAAAGTACAGAATAATCTAATGACCTAATTTTGGGAAATTAGCTGTTTAATTTAATTTAACTCCAAATAAAGGTAAAAGTTAATCAGAAATAGAAAAATCATCAAGAACATTGATTGAAAGAAGATGGGGAGAAGATGGAAAAAGAAATGCTCCTTGAAAACCAGAGATTTGAAATGATAATATAAATTTAATTGATGATGATGATGATGATGATGATGATGATGATGATGATGACGATGACGACTGCTGCTGCTGCTGCTGCTGCTGCTGGTCCTGTGCTAATCCAGTCAAGCATCCTGGCTAATTCTCCGCTCTATCTATTCTCTAGATAAATTATTGAGACCTTTAAGAAACCTGGACTCAACATCACTGGATGGCAAATTGAAATCCTCAAGACCAGCAGCTTTGGAGACTCTATTGCCAACTGAGCAATGTAATCCATCAGCTCAGGCAGGGAAGCCACTGAGCAGCAGGGAAGGTGGTACACCAGCACCAATCCCAGCTGTTCCCCTGAGCCCAATTTCAGCCAGAGCACTTCACATCCAGTTATCTGTGGACCTGTAATGGTATATGGGAATGGCCTTGGGAGGCAGGGAAAGAGACACAACCAAAGGAACAGTCAGATAAAAGGCAGCTGAGCCAGCAGCAGGAATGTGGGTAGGGTAAGAAGGACCCTCTTGGCTGATGCAGAACCCAAAACCTCAGTGGGCACATTTCTGAGAGGAGATCCCCCCTGCCTGGGCCCAACCAGGTCTTAGTAAGACATGCCAGGCTGGGGCCCTCCTCCAAGATAAAATCATGGATGAGGGCATCTTTCTTATACAATGACCATTCAAAAGCAATAGCCAAAGTCCAGGCTGACCAGAGATCTGGTTGCCAGGCACAGAGGGTAGAAACCAAGAGCTGGACAGCAGAACCACTTTCAAAGAGCAGTCCCGGTGTCCACAAATGTGGACCCTTGGACCTCCCCCCCCCATATCTCCCTCTGCCCATTACCACTGACATGGCTCTGCCTGCTTCCTCATCTCCCCCCAGTCCACTCCCAGCCCTTACATCCTCCTCCCAGGCCAAAGGACATAATTAATCTCACCCTACCACCAGTAATATGTCTGAGCAGATTATGGGTATATTTGGCAAGGTTAAATATTCCATAATTCTAGCCACTGAATTCAGGTTCAAGTTTAATCTTTTCTTTTACATTTTTTAAAAATAAAATTAGTACAATGAGAGTTCTTCTACAATACACACACACACACACTCATTCATTCATTCATTCATTCATTCATTCATTCATTCATTCGACTCCAAAAACTGAATCCTAGGCTGATTTTGGAAATAAACATGACTATTTGGACAATGGTTCAGTATACAAGCTCAAAGACAAATACACAAATGCCTATACACATTTTCAGAGGCTCATATAGACCTCCTCTACTGCCAATGTTCTTGCTTTCTTTAGTTGACATATGGCTCTGCTCCAGCCATGGATAAAGAGACTCAAGCTGTTTTCTTCCAACAAATGTTTCCAAATGAATCCAACCAACACAGGGGCCTCCTCCAGCTGTTGCTGTATTTTAGGTGGAAATGGATTGGTGTTCTGGCTGTGAATGATGACAAAGGAGAGAAATTTGTACAGGATGTGCTCTGCATGTTTTCCCAGCATGGCATCTGCTTTGATTTCATACAAGAGTTCCCAAATGTAGCTTTTTACATTGATTATAATGAAGTAATTGGTGAAGGAGTCCAAATATACCACGTCCTCATGAACAGCACAGCCAATGTGATAATGTTATATGGAGAAATTCAGTCCATATCTCTTCTGAGAACATACCTGCAATTATCAGAAGTGGAGGATATACCAAAGAAGACAAAAATCTGGCTTATAACAGCTCAGACAGATTACACTTCAATTTCTTTTCATAAATCTTGGGACATCCATTTCCTGCATGGTGCTTTATCCTTTGCAGTCCACACAACAGAGGTCCAAGAATTTCTGGAATTTATTGAAAATCTAAATCCAACCAACAACCAGCACGATCATTTTAGAAAAGATTTCTGGGAACAGGCATTTGAGTGTTTGTTTTCCAACCCTGAAACAGAGAAGTCTGAGAAAAAATGTACTGGACAGGAGAGC